GGGCCGGGGTGGAGCAGCCCTGCCGGCGGCCGCGGCTGACTAAACTCTTTTTTATTTAAAAAAGACCCACAAACAATAAATTACACTTGTTTCTCCTTGGCCATGCAGGGAGGTGTGATGCACCCTTGGAAGCGGTAGGGAGTGTCCCTCGGTATGGCTTCTCTCCCTTCCCAAAGCTCGGTAACTCTTGGGGCTGGGGGGTCCTGCCTCAATTGTCCCTCTCCGCCAGGAGCCTGGCGGCTCTGCTCCTCATCCTTCTGGGCCCTGCGAGGGGCATGATCGGATATGGAATCGTTTGAATCGTTTGGGGCTTGTATCACTCGCTTGTGCTGCTCTGTACAAAAGAGTTAGCTCGTTGGAGGATGGATGGGACTCTTTGGTGCTTCAGGTGACAATTTAAACAGCAGGAACTGCTTTAGGGATCTTTGGTGAACAGTTAATGGGTAAAATATTCCTCAGAGAATTTTACTGTCATGTGTTTCAAGTCCAATATGTTAAGAAGTGCAAGTAGATGCTTTTTGGGCTGTGTTATCAAACTACAGTGATGTAACAAAGTAATTCTAAGTGGTGACTCTCATTTATGTTGGTATTTTGAATAGCGAAAATAACATTTTTAACAAGGACAAAAGTTGGCTAAAATGTGCAATGGAAGAGCTTCTTTTTTGTTGCTTAAACATGCTGTTATTGAAATAACAGTGGACCTCAGGCAGCTAATGAAGCCAGTATTTGGGGTTTCTTGGATTTTTTTTCTTTTTTCCCAACAGGTTGAGTAGAAGATAAAAGTTACCTTTGTAATTATAACAAATTACGTATGTACAGCCTCTGCTGGGATTGTGTTCTTTTCACAGCAAACTTTGTTTTCCTTTTTATTACCAGTAGCTTCTGAGAGCACCAGTCACTAAGGAGCCCCTGCTGTGCTGCATGCTGTCTAACTAAAAGTCTTCCCTGCCCCAAAAGGCTACTAAATAGCAGTTGCTGTCTAATTAGTAAAGTAGCTACAACCACTTTTATTTTTGAACATATTCAGGCAACTCTTCTGTCTGAAAGTTAGCTTCTATATATTAATTAGCCATATTAAAGCAAATATAACATTCACTGGATGCTCTCACGTTCTTTCAGCTTTCTCAAACAAAAAACATATTAACAGCATTAAGACCATGAGACAAACACTTATTTGGGATTTTTAAACTTAAGAATTGAAGGAGCTGCTTTTCTTTACATTAGCTAAAGTAAGCAATGCCACAACGCTAAAACCAAGAGAAACAGTGCGAGGTGAAAGGAAGTAGAGCTAGATTTTTGAGAACACTTCAGTCAGTGAGACAAGTGTGTTTCTAAGTAAATTCTGCAAGCCTCTGCTGTGCCTTGTGAAATGAAAGAAATGAGTGGAAAGCATCGGCTGAAAATAGCTATAGAAAAATACATCTATAAGAAGCAGTTTGCATACAATATTTACTTATTTAGTCCTCCCTACATTTGTTCTTCATATGATGCTAGTTTGTGTGATTGTGCATAGGAGAGGAGTGGTCTAATTAATCCATGAGCCACATGACATCACTCTGTGTGGTTTCCGGGTATGTGTCTTTACAGCAAAATTTTGTTTCTATAGAAATATTGAGACTTCTCTATCAGCAGCACTGCAGTTGTGATGGGGTGTCTATACCTCAGTCGCAGTTGTAGCCATGTACTCTCCATGTCTAACAGGCTGCATAGCCTTTAAAACATAAAGATTCCCCTAAAAGTAAACTGTAAGTAAAGTAAATCATGAAGTAGAGACTCTGCAGCACTAACCGTTCTCCTAGATAACAGTGCTTTGCTTGTTACTAACCGAATGGTTTTTATTGCTAACTCTTAGAGCTATGCACTCCTTCTGGTACTCCTTCTGCAGCCTGAACTTAAAAAAAGTCTTCTCTTTCAACAGATTCTGCACAGACAGCAAGTAACAAACTACTGGGAAACTTCAAGCTGCAATCAGTTTTGGGTCCTGAAGGGGAGCAGCTGCAGAGAAGCAGCTCGTTTCTTGGATGGGAGGCGTTGAAGGACTTGTATAGTTTAAATGACTATAATGAATACGTACCTGTGGCAGACGACTTCAAAGAACTTGTTCGCCAGGTAGAAGAAGCTGTTCAGAAGGACAGGGGAGGAACAGGAATTGCAAACCCCATGGGATCAAACGCTTATCTTTGGGCCAGGTATCCCAGAAGAAAACGAGAATCTCTGGGTTTGGCAGGAATGTGTTGCAAATGGGGCTGTACAAAAGCTGAGATTAGTACTATATGCAGAGTTTAAAATCCCCTCTGCACTTACGCATGAAATCAATGTTTGTTGCAGTGCTACTTGATTGAATACTCTGTGGAGGAAGAAAACTCTCACTGTATTTTGTTTTGTCTGTATGTGCCAGTCAATACTGCTGGTTTTCTTTAAAAAAAAAAAAATCCACAAGTGTAGTTGTAACAACTTTGGTTTTTGCTGCAGTAACTTTTAATCTGTATTTTTTACTAAGTCTTTTCATTTTAATGTTGAGCCTTTACACTTATATTACAAATGTATTATATCTTTGTAACACTTTAGGAAGTACTTCAGTGTTTCATTAAAGTGTAATTATACTAAGTGTTACCGAATTGTTGTTTCTCTGTCAACAGTGATATTCTTGAAATGGCATTCATGGTACAAAGATGTACAGAAAGGATATATTGCCAATTGAAACTCCACTCAACACTGACTCAGCTTGCCGATTATTTTGAACGCACTTTTTTCCATTTCCTTGTAATTGCAGAATTGTTTTATGCAATATTGTCTTTCTAGAAACTTTACTGCAATACAACGCTTGCAGCCTAAATATTTCTTCATGTTCGCGGATGGGCTTAAATAGTTAGCGGGTGAAGTATTAACACTTTAATTATTCCTTGTTTGCCTGACTTCCCCATTTTTTTTCCTACTGCTGCTAAGTGAGAGTGTTGGATGTGCTTCAAGTAACTTATTGTACAGACACTCAGGCATCTTCCTGTCTGTTCCTATGGTACGCTGGTCTACGCTACTTCAGATGTATTTCTAAGTTGCTAATTGCTACTGTATTTATAAATAGCTGATTTAATCTGTCTAGTTTCTGAGCTTTTTGCCTTCCTGGCTGTTTTTCTCAACTGTAACAAGTTATATTTCTAGCTATGCTGTTGATGACTTGAGGTTTTTGTTTTTTCTGACCTTTATGATACTTATGGTAACTTAACGTAGCTTTGTAGCTGTAGTTGACTCAGAGTGTACTTCATAGCTTAGACTGCACAGTTGTTACCTTTGGCTTCATTCTTCAAATTGTCTTTTGGAAAGTGTTCTTTGATTGAACTACTGCTTAGTGAAATTACTGCATCACTTCTTTATCCCTTTTCCTAAGATGATATTGTTATTCCAACAATTAGGCATCTATCAATCCTTTTTATTTTTTTAAGCCATGTCAGTTTTATTCAGTAGAGACTGGGCAGAACAGACATTCACTATGAATGCTGTTATCTTCCAGCTGAAAAGCACGATCTCTTCCATCATTGTAACAAAAATGTTTAGCAAGAAATGAGTTTTCTTCTTCCACACCGTTATTGTAGTGACTGTAAGATGCTTCTCGTCACTCTGAGTGGAGAAGGTAACTATGTAAAGTTCTGCTATAGTTTTCTTTGACACAAGCTAGCTAAACTTCTACAGTGTAGCTTCCAGCCACTTCACCTCCCAAATAATTCTGGGGTTGGAGACTCCTCGTTTAGATCAGGATTTCGTAGAAGAATACAGGAGTTTGAGGGGAAGTGTTCCTTGGTTTTGAGTAGGATCCAGGGCTTTGGAAGTTAAGATTCCTTAGTAAGGTGAAAACTAAATGGTACATAGAATCCCTAAGAAAACAGAAAATGTGAAAATGCCATGCCTGATGAAACTGAACATGAGCCTGTAGGTATTGTTCATTTTGCTAGAAAACTTTCTGCCAATCCTTTAAAAAAGAATATTGGGAAAGGTGAATACGGTGTTTTTTCTGCTTGCTTGCTTGCTCCAGTAGCACTGGTCTGTCCAGGTAGACAGCTTGCATGTATAGTGAGCAGGCTTTTTTCTGTCCTGAGGGAAACAAAAATGTAGTTAAAACCTTAAACTTGTGAGCTTAAGTCTTGAATGGAACAACCTGGAGTTTAACTTGCCAGGTTGGATGTAACCTATTGGTAAAACTATAAATAGTTTAAGTGGAAATTAATGTTCAAGATGAACTGTTTCATGCTGACACAGAATTATAAATAGAAAAATCAGTCTTTATCTGACATAAACAGGTGTTTTTCAGAGGTATGAGTCAAGATACGTCAGTATGTGTAACCCAGAGAAATGGTGACATTTGTGTTTTCATTGGGTTTCTTAATAAGCCTCGTCATAGCCTGTAAGGGCGTTAGCAGGTCAGCTGTGGCATAGATACATGGCACAGACTGAAATCCAGTCTGTGTTTTAGAGTGAGGAAGTATTTGACTCTCTGTATACACTGGGGTGTGCAAAGATTTTCTTTGTTTTAAAGCAAATTGTGTTTTCAAAGACCTCTAAGGCTTTCTGTGTGGGTAGGCCATATTTTATAATGGTTCTTTGCAATGTAGCCAAAGGTGACAATTATGTGTCACTCGATTGCAACAGGACTAGAGGACGCGATCTGCTCCGGTTCACATGACTCAGTGTCCAAACACATGTTTTTAAGACCAGAAGCAAACCTTTTACGTAAAATGAGGTGTCTGACTAGTTAGATGGGGGAAGCAAACACGTTTTGGAGCAGACAGCTCTAGATGTAAAATAATTACGGAGTTGACATATTGATCCAAATAGCAGACCAAAAGGACATTCGTTGTCTCTGCTGAAAGCTCCTCTGGGAGTACGGCCGTACGTATATCGCAGCATAAACGCGAGCGCAGCAGTTCAAAGCAGCGCACTGTGCTTACCATCACAGCTGTTCAGAAACATACACTTCTGCACAAGAAATAAGCTTTTTTTCACCCATTTCATTCACAGAGCAATTAGCTATTGAGAAAAGCATTGTTTTAGCAACTTGCTGCTTACCGAAATTGCAGCCCCATTGATATAGACTTAACCCATGGGAAGTGTCCAGTTTCTGGGTAATCATCTGTTACGATGTGTGAGCTATCTTCTGAACAGCTATTTTGAGTTCATGGGTAAGAAATCATACATCAGCATGTTCACGTGTGGGCACTGCTGTCTGCGTCTGCAAGAGCTCATTATTCTGGATGGTTTGGGGACCTTTTTTCGCCCTGGGTGTAGTCTGATTCCGGTCTGGCTGTGAACTCCTTGAGCAATGCCCAAAGGCAGGGGAGCAATCCACGGCAGGGCATGCAACAGCTGTTCCAGCCCTATTCCCTGCGATTGCCTTCTTTAAAACCTGAGAGAACTCCTCCTGCAAAGCAGTAAGCAATGTGGAGATTGTGACAGAGCTAGAGCCGAGCACCTCAAAGGAGGGTAAGGTGTAAGTTTGATCACACGCAGGATGCTGAGTGTGCTACAGAGAGCTATCTAACAAACCCCAGAGACCGAGAGGACGTGACTCCCTTCTCTGTCTAGTCCTATTTGGTCAGTTGCTTACTTTGCCACTTGTTTAAACCATACAGGAAAAAATCTAGATTTCTGAGTTATTGGAGTAGATGTGTTTTTCTTTTTTCTTTCAGTCTGTCTTTTTTCACCTCTGCTGATAGGCAGGAAAAAAGTTAACCTTTATTTCTACATTCTGGCAAAGCCAGAGGCAGGCCTCGAGTTAGCACTCTGAGTTTTTGGAAGACTTTCTGAGACGACCATCTTTCCTCCTCAGCAGGCAGCAGAGACTCAAGAGAAAATGTGTACGCCTTTCCTACCCAGCAGAACAGAACCTGCAGAGATTTGTATCCCGTCTGCTGCCACTCACTGGTATCAGCAAGTAGCTGACAGAGAGGCCTTTTCTCATTTGTGCCACATGGAATTCCATCACGCATGGAATGAATTTTTTCCTGGCACAGCTTTTCTGTGTCTTGGGAACAAAGACCCGAGCTGTCGGCTCCTTTCCCTGGACTTCAGCTCCAACAAAGTCCGAGCTGGCTGTTACTTTGACTGCTTTGTGCCACCTGCTTTGTGGTCAGGCCTTGGTATCAAACACTGCACCATCACAGTGTGCTTGTCCAGTACTATTTTCTGACCAATATACTCTAGAGAACCAGCACTAATAGGAAGGAAAGTAAATTCTCTAGTGTGTGCATGAGCCTCTTTTCCTCCACCTAACCTCCCCACTACCTACATTTTACCTGGAAGGTTCCTATACTTGATTTGCAATGCTAGAAGTTCCTCAACTGCAGCCTACTCTTATGTTTTAACCTTAAAGTGTGTAAATCCAGATGCATATCTATGACTTTTCAAGAGCACATCATTGTTAACACAGCTGAGCGAGGTAGCATCTCTCTCACATAACAGAAACTCACAAGAGAACCAAAACCCAGCTTCCAGCCTTTGTGCTTTGAAAACTTCTGCCCTTCGAAGTAGGCCAGCCAAACAAGCCCCAGCAAGATGTGCCTCTTGGCCTTCTCTGGATTATACTCTTTGACCTGAGACTCTCCAGTTTCTGTAAAAGCTCAGCCAGCAAGTGATGCATCCCTTCTGGCAATGAGGAATGCCTCTTCAGGAACTGTTTTGTCCAGAGAAGCTGACAGTGAAGGGCAGTAAGATCACGCTTTTCACCTCTGCACCAGAACTGGATCACCATGGCTTCAGCTCTCCTGGTATCGCTCTTCAATGGCTTATTTAATGCTAGCATGATGTTGTGCCCTCTGTCAGCAACCTGGTGTAAAGAGTTTGCCTGTGACTATATGCTTCTGGCACTGCAGAAGTTGTTGAGCTCAGCAGCAACTAGTCTTGGCACCAAAGGCCACTGTTGAAGTACTTCTCCGTCTCTGTAGTTTTGCATCTTTTTGTCCCTGTGCCAAGAGATGGAATCTCCTGAGGTGCTTCCCATGCAGCAACACAGTGTGAGGATATGCTTTTTCCTCCTGCCCTTTTTTTCATTTGAGCTCACAACACGGGGCTGAGTGCTCCAGTGCAGTGCCACGTTGATCCCAGCAGTCTTCTGCCCTCTGTGCAGAGCTCCTGAGAGGCAGAGACTTTAGTAGGCAGGACAACCTTCATGTCCTGCTGAAAAAAAAACTGCTGAAATGTGGTACCTGTTGGTCTTGGAGTCTTTCGGTAACACGTGTGCTCTGCAACAGGCTGATGACAGCTAAGACACCTTGCTGGTTTGAGGGGCAGGAAGATTC